CAGACCTTAGGTGAGTATCCTCAACAATAGCTGTTCACTTTCTGGAGCTTCCACGAGAATGTCTGGGCTCAGACACCGCCACTCACAGCACATCTTCAAACCTGGAATGAGTTCTGTCTTCAGTTCCTCGAAGCAACTTGATTGCTGTCCCTTGGTTCTGCTGAAGGATTTGAAGACTGTTGTTCCTCGGAACGCTTGAGAAGAAATGTCCAGACTAACCACTCTCTCCCTCCACCACATCTCATACAGAACCATTGTGACATCACTATATGCTGTCTTCTACCTCAGCAGCACATCTCACCTTTGACCCCCACTTGCTTCCCAACATGCCACTGACACACAGCAGCTGGGAAACTGGGACACGTGGGCCATGCTAAAGTATAGCCACAATTTATATTAAAAAAATCTAAAAATGCATACGAGTAACAAGACGTAAGTCAAAGAAATGAATCGCAAGAATGGCATAAGCCTGGCTTTCTTGCCGATGAATTAGGATAAAGGCTTCATTCAATCTAACTGTGTAAATGATTGTGGGTGGGAAGCAGAGCTGTCAGGATTAGAACCAGTGACCATGTGGGATCCCCCGAGCATTTAAGATGAGGACTCTAGCCACTAGCCCACCACGCTGGGACGACCAAATGTATTTTCTCCTCAGCACTTTATTGCCAAACTTTCCATGGTGACATGGCAAGGAAAGACCCTCAATTTTAGACATGTGCGCCTAGTCTACATTCACGGGACATCAAACAAGACCTACAGCCGATGACACATTCAAACCAAATGCCATGTCAGAAAGGAGGGACATAATGCTGTAACTGAAAGAATGAAATTGCACACAGGATTGGTAGTGTTCAATAAAAGCTCACTTATCAATGAAGCCAAAATAATAGCGTCCCTAAGAAACAGAAGTGGATAGAAACATCAAAACCCAGCAGCTATACAAAAGCTGTTTATAGATATACTGAATAAGGACACAGATATACTGAATAATCACTGGCATCATAAGCTAATGCTGATGTAGATTATCTTTAAGTATAAGTACGAGGGTCATAGGAAGGAAAGAGTAGGAATGTTATGGAAGAAGGTGAAGACCACATTGTTTCACTTCAACGATATAGCAGAGTGCAGGTGATGTATGTTCTGCAACCCCAAGAGGCATATTGGCTCAATTGGTTGAACAACACCAACTACATGTTCGCTGTGCACAAAAAGAAAAGTGCACACAACTGAAAGGGAAGTAGACAGTAGATCTCCTATGCTCACTTGAAGGGAAATGAGCAGGGGTAAGTAGCCTCTGTAGCCAAAGGCAAAACAGACTGCCATACAACAACCTCCTAGCAGAAATATTGAATTAATGACAAACCCATTCATGGTTTTTAGGTGACCTACGTAATTGCATCTGCATCAATCTATGCTGCCTTTGGACAACTACCACGATGGTGACGTTCCAGGCATCTGCTGCACCTGAAAACCCAATCGTGTAGATTGAGACACTGTGGAAGAACTTAGATGTGCCAAAGAGAATATGTGAAGCTCAACGATGCAGATTACAAAATTCTACCCACTACGAATAACAGATGTTAAATTATTGGCAATGCCAATAAGCCAACTCATGCATATTCAGCCAGAGCACATGCGCTTTGACTTTTCTCAATGCAGTGGCTGTCCAGAAGATACTGTCCACCACTCCTTTGTCTCAGTTGATGGCAGGGCAGCAGGAGTTGCATTTCGTCACTGGTGTGTAGTAATAATAAATACTTTAGAAGACACGGTATGGATGCCTATGTGTTTGGATACACATTTGCATGTGTCTTCTTCTTATTTATTTCACCTGCCAGATGACTTTAAATTTAAGCATTGCTTAATTTAAACAACAACGCCTTCATGAATCCTTTTCCGTTTAATTGCAAAAGAAATGAAGTCTTCTGCTGCTCTCAAGGACATGCCAGACGTGCCTTTTTCCATGCATTTTCTTTCAAGAAAATTTAGGGTGAAAAAATACCCAGTTACAACACAAAGCTTCTACAATGCAAATGGTCCAGAGCCATGAGTTCACAAACATGCTCTGAATGAACGAAGGGGATTATTACCCAATGATCAGAAAGCTTTACATGGGGTAGCACATGTTGCCAAATGAATGACACAACTGCAGAAACCTTCTATTTTGAGAAATAACCAGTGCTGCTTTCACAATATTCCTGAAAACTGTGAACTCCCATACAGCTGATTCAGGCTAATGCATCACACTGACTTGCTTTATGATATAATCCTCGACTCGAGGCTGTGACTTAAAATAGCCACCAATTTTACGTGTGTGTGTGTGTGTTTGGATTCTATTTAAATTGTGTCCCCTAAATACGTATATGTATGAAAGTATGTGTAGATGCAAATATTCTCTGGCACAAAACAAGACTGGGGTCTTGAAAATATCAAAACCTACCAGCTTCTCAGAGCAGCATGGATTGAAACTGGAGACAGTTAAGTACAAACAGAAAATATCTCAGCATACAAAGGATCAGAATCTAAACCTCATGCTGATGAATGAAAACTGAGTTACAAAAATTGTGAGGTAATATATGAAGAAATATTCCTGGAATAAGTAAAGTCATCAATATCAAAAGATCATATAAAACCTGAGAGACGAATTTAGGGTAGTACAAAAATACATATGTAATCATAGCCCAGAACCAAACCTAGGACATGTCTATGATATTAAGCCATCTCTTCATCTGAAAGTGCCTAACAAGGCTAGCAAATAGAATCAATACATGGATGACTTTGATCCGGCCAGCTGTGATACAAACAGAGGGACAAAAGCTCTTATACTATCAATGGGTCAATGAGACAGGTCTCATGAAAATGTACAATCCTTACTCCATCAGGGACACACTTCAGAGTGTGAGAAGAAACACGAAACTGTAAAACAGGCAGCAGCAAGGAAATGGCGGCCCAGACATTCATCAAACCATCAGGAATGATTACAAGCAGGTACATGGCTCAATTCAGAAGAGATTTCTGGAAAGGAAAATTCTCCTCATCATACTCAAGGCATAACTAAAAACATCAATGGCTCTATTGTCAAGGAAGAGTGCAAATTGAATCCTCCCTGCAACAACAAGCAAAACTCAAGGCCTGGATGAGCACACTGCTGAATTCTTACAAATGGGTCAGGAAGAACTAGTCTGAAGCCTGCATAAGACCAGAAAACAGCAGTCAGAAAGACAAAATCCTTCAAAATGCCTTCCATCATCACCTTCATATCAAAACTGGAAAGAAGGACAACATCACAACAAATATACACCAATATTCCTTATGAACACAAGTGCAAAATCCTCCAGAAGACATCACATTCTCCACCTGAACATACAACAGAAGGTGGATTCAGCAGATCCAGGTGGGATCTCTAAATTTCACGCAGGGATGCCTAAACTTTACAAATTCCCAGAATATGAAACACATTGCAGTATGCATAGTTACTCCTCATGAGAAGTAGACAAAAAAGGAACAGTTCAATCTACCTTCTCAATATGGTAGTAGACTACAATGCCATGATACCCTTAGAGCAGAAAGCTAAGGTTGTATCTGCTATCAGACTTCTCCACCTTGCCGAGACATTAGAGAAAAACTTTTGAACAGTAAAATGGGGCAGACAGAAGTGGGAAAATTGTTGGGCATTGATTTATCTCATAACAACTGCATTATACAGGATATTATCACCAAAAATTATACATTTCATGCCACTTTCTGCCAATGCTTACCACACATGTCTCTGTGCTCCTCAGATGCTGAGCAGGGCTCACTCTACTGTGTGCTCGAAGATACTGCACACAAGGAACTGTAGCAGTGTGTCTCTACTGAGAACCTGAAATACTATAGTCAAGGCTGTCTTGGTGCAACTATGCCCTCCCCACACCTTGTTTTCTGAGACACATTGCTTCCTCTCAGTGACCCTGGCCTTGCCCTGAATTTAGCAAAGCTGTGCATGGATGAGGGTGATTGCATCACTAGACCCGTGATACGGCTTCACCATCTGAATTGACTGGACAGTAATGAGTGCCTGAAGCCAGGCTCTCTCCACAGAAGAGAGTTATGCACACTCTGACTCTTGCCTTGCAGAATTTGTGAAGGAAAATTGAAAAGGATGAACTCTTTGGCACTTGTATCTTCTCCAGTTACTCCAGCAGTAGAAATGAATGAGCTGGAGTATCAGATCATTCCATTCCACTTTCCCAAAATTATCTCGAGGCTGAAAGAACTAGTACAACATCCACACTGGGATGCACCTGTCCACTCCAGTCTCCGCAGAATCTGTGAATTAGTCAGATAGGGCAGGCGTAACATAGAAGCAGGCAGGGCAGGAGGGGCAGCTTGCCTGAGCCAAGGATCATGATGGACCCATTCCCTGCCCCCTCACAGCTTTGGCTGATACCTAACCACAATGCTCAACAACCACTGTCCTTTTTCTTACTTTGACAAAGTAACAAGTATGGAAGTACACAAGTATGGAAGTGGTTACTTTGTCACTTAACCCTCTTGAGCACTCAGCATGAATTTCAGCCTACTCCCTGGCAATATGCCATTTTGTTGCATCCCAAAAGCACGCTGAGAATGAAACACATAAGCCATGAAGCACAGGTAGTGATGCTTTTATTTGCAACATTATGCAAGCATATTCTTTGCAGCATTCACCCACTGGCTACATTTTATGAAATGCTTCCACAGAGGAAATGCAAAGGTGTAAGAGCAGTTTTCATGGTCATTTTGTAGTGTGAGTGGGGTCATTTTGGAAATGAGTAAGAGGGCAAGCAAAAGATGGCTGTGCCATCATTCTCCTGGGGATATGCACACACACCCAGTCTCTCTCTGTCTCTCACACACACATATTGGATAGGGAGAACTAGAGAGAAAGAGAAAATGAGAGAAAGAGAGATTAGTCTGATATTGCTAAATATCCCATGTTAAATTTGAAAGCATCCTTCAGGCCTCCTTCTCTTGATCCTTTACAAGAATTTGGCACTATCAATACACATAAAGTGGAATAGGGAAGCCGATCTCGGAAAAGTTGACTGCATCTTCCTGAATCAATAAAGGTTAAGCCGTCGAACAAAGCTCTTGATGTTGCACGTTTCAAAGATTCTGAAATGACCTTTCATCTCTAAAAAATCTGTCTGAAATTGCTCTACATCTATCACGAAGGAGGTTCCTCCTTCATCCCACCAAATCGATTTGAATTCAGGGCTTTCCACTATTTGCCAAAGTTTTCTAGGAAACCCCAGAACATGATGGTTATTCTGTTCCTGATGAGACAATCGATCGCTAGGAGAAGACCAAGTGTAAAATGCTGCATGTTATTGTACAAATAAGTTCATTCGTTTTATCAGGAGACCATCTCTGGTCTGAACCTAGAGGCGGCAGAATATCCTCCTGGGCAATTCAAAGACCCAACATAACATCAGTAACATTTTAGAAATGTATGGAATGAGGAGTCATGGTATTGAGTAACCAATATGTTAAAAGAGAGAGAAAAAAACAAGAATGCAAGTTCTGAACCACATCTTGTAACTTCTACATTGACATTGTTATTTCATTTATTCCTTTATGTATAAATGGTTTCTATACACTTTAAAATGGCTATAGATTACTACTATTCACCTTTCTCATGTCTATTTTCTGTTTAGTCTGTCGCAGTTTATAGCGTTGAAGCATGATTTTGCTGAACTTGGCTGTTTCTCAGGTAGTCTAACTCTATAACTCTAACAACACGCCTGTCATAGATTAGGGGAATTGTTTTAGCAGCGGTGTGCAGAGAAATCTTCAATACCTTAGGGAGGAGAAACTAATGATTGTGTCTTACCTAGTGAGTTATAAGTGCATCCCTGTTGACCATTGCCAGTCTCTTTCCTTGCTGTTCTCTGTCAATTCTAGTTTTATTTATTTGTTGTCAGGGGTTTTTTTTTGGAGTATCCTGATGTTCATTTGAGTGAGAGCTGGGACACAAAGTCAGAAGTCAGAAGTTATTAATTGCTGCTCATTTCACCATTCCACCCATGATGAGATCTCTGAAAAATCCAATGGTTGACATTGTCCACTTTAGAGTCAGTTTTCTTCGCTTTTAATTGTGAACATGTGGCTGGAGTGGTTGGTTGATTTGTTATTTTCTTTTTATGTTATTGTTTTTTTTCAATTTTCAGTTTATGACTCAGTTTCATAGGCTCTGGGATTCCTGCAAACCCTACCCTGGCCCTCCCTAGAGAGTGGATTCCTCCAGATTTTTGCAGTAGTACAGTTCATATCCAGTCATGGTTCCTTTGTGGCAAGCATATAGTATGCATAGACTCCAACTTCTTATCGTCCAGATGAATTCAACATCCCTCTTCTGAAAGTAGAGCTGACAGAATGCCATCCCTTCCAATGAGAAACCACAACATAACATCAATAACAACATGGTATTGAGTGACCAATATGTTACAAAATGCAAATTCTTAACCACATCCTCTGATTACTTCATTGACATCTCAATTTTAGCTTGTACACCACCGGCAGCTATACACCTTAAAATGATTATAGTTACCATTCAGCTATCTATGTTTCATTTTAGTATTTAGCAGATTATGGTATTGAAGCATGCTTTTACTGAACTTGGCAAATTTTAGGATAGTCCAAACAGGCTTATGGATCACATACTCATTTTCATTTATAGACACGAAATGAGACATACAGAGATGAGGAGAGACAAAGAGGAAATTTGTCTGTCTTTTCATTCTCTCCCAAGTGGCCAAAATAGCCGGAGATTTTTCAATCCAAAGACTAGAACCAAGAACTTCTTCCTGGTCCCCATTGTGGCTGTAGTGTCCCAAGGCTTGAGGATATCCTGAACTACTTCCCCAGGCCACAAGCAGGAGCCTGGAAAGCAAGTGAAACAGCAAAAGAGTGAAAGAGAATAAAGGACAACATTACAGTACAGAATTGAAACAGGAAATACATATATTTAATACTTGATTGTGTACCTGAAGATCAGAGAAAACACTCTAATATGAAAAAAAAGAAACAAATCAAAAAGGAAACATTAACTTAGAGAAAATTACAAATTTGAATGTGCTTGCTTTGTCAAAACCTCATAAGAATTCACTTAAAGAAAAATTGAAGTCAAGAGATGTTTTAAATGTCGCAATGAGCATAGAAATCGAAGCAATGCTAAATTTTTATCAGAACCATAGAATATGTGGCTGGAGGACCCTTTCTGCTTTTACGAAGGAATATAAGTAATGACGCATGATTTCAAAATGAGAAACGACTTTAACTATACACACTTCCTGTTCTCTCTATGTAACTATATTAATATTCGCCGTGTGTGAAAGATTTCAAGAAACCCGATCTATACCACATGTTTTAGTGTATTTATTTGTTTTTTTTATTGATTATATCGCATTATGTGATAGTTTTATAGGCAAGGGGATACCTACCCTTCCCCAAACCAACACAACTAATGGTAGATTCCTTCACCTTGTTGCATTACTACCACAGTTTAAATTCAGTTGAGATTCATTCATTGCAAGCATCTACCAAGTGTAAAGTGCTGCGTCTTATTGTGCAAATAAGTGCATTCGTTTTTTCAGGAGACCATCTCTGGTCTGAACCTAGAGGCGGCAGAATATCCTCCTGGGCAATTCAAAGACCCAACATAACATCAGTAACATTTTAGAAATGTATGGAATGAGGAGTCATGGTATTGAGTAACCAATATGTTAAAAGAGAGAGAAAAAAACAAGAATGCAAGTTCTGAACCACATCCTGTAACTTCTACATTGACATTGTTATTTCATTTATTCCTTTATGTATAAATGGTTTCTATACACTTTAAAATGGCTATAGATTACTACTATTCACCTTTCTCATGTCTATTTTCTGTTTAGTCTGTCGCAGTTTATAGCGTTGAAGCATGATTTTGCTGAACTTGGCTGTTTCTCAGGTAGTCTAACTCTATAACTCTAACAACACGCCTGTCATAGATTAGGGGAATTGTTTTAGCAGCGGTGTGCAGAGAAATCTTCAATACCTTAGGGAGGAGAAACTAATGATTGTGTCTTACCTAGTGAGTTATAAGTGCATCCCTGTTGACCATTGCCAGTCTCTTTCCTTGCTGTTCTCTGTCAATTCTAGTTTTATTTATTTGTTGTCAGGGGTTTTTTTTGGAGTATCCTGATGTTCATTTGAGTGAGAGCTGGGACACAAAGTCAGAAGTCAGAAGTTATTAATTGCTGCTCATTTCACCATTCCACCCATGATGAGATCTCTGAAAAATCCAATGGTTGACATTGTCCACTTTAGAGTCAGTTTTCTTCGCTTTTAATTGTGAACATATGGCTGGAGTGGTTGGTTGATTTGTTATTTTCTTTTTATGTTATTGTTTTTTTTCAATTTTCAGTTTATGACTCAGTTTCATAGGCTCTGGGATTCCTGCAAACCCTACCCTGGCCCTCCCTAGAGAGTGGATTCCTCCAGATTTTTGCAGTAGTACAGTTCATATCCAGTCATGGTTCCTTTGTGGCAAGCATATAGTATGCATAGACTCCAACTTCTTATCGTCCAGATGAATTCAACATCCCTCTTCTGAAAGTAGAGCTGACAGAATGCCATCCCTTCCAATGAGAAACCACAACATAACATCAATAACAACTATCTCATGCAGTAAGTGACATGGTATTGAGTGACCAATATGTTACAAAATGCAAATTCTTAACCACATCCTCTGATTACTTCATTGACATCTCAATTTTAGCTTGTACACCACCGGCAGCTATACACCTTAAAATGATTATAGTTACCATTCAGCTATCTATGTTTCATTTTAGTATTTAGCAGATTATGGTATTGAAGCATGCTTTTACTGAACTTGGCAAATTTTAGGATAGTCCAAACAGGCTTATGGATCACATACTCATTTTCATTTATAGACACGAAATGAGACATACAGAGATGAGGAGAGACAAAGAGGAAATTTGTCTGTCTTTTCATTCTCTCCCAAGTGGCCAAAATAGCCGGAGATTTTTCAATCCAAAGACTAGAACCAAGAACTTCTTCCTGGTCCCCATTGTGGCTGTAGTGTCCCAAGGCTTGAGGATATCCTGAACTACTTCCCCAGGCCACAAGCAGGAACCTGGAAGGCAAGTGAAACAGCAAAAGAGTGAAAGAGAATAAAGGACAACATTACAGTACAGAATTGAAACAGGAAATACATATATTTAATACTTGATTGTGTACCTGAAGATCAGAGAAAACACTCTAATATGAAAAAAAAGAAACAAATCAAAAAGGAAACATTAACTTAGAGAAAATTACAAATTTGAATGTGCTTGCTTTGTCAAAACCTCATAAGAATTCACTTAAAGAAAAATTGAAGTCAAGAGATGTTTTAAATGTCGCAATGAGCATAGAAATCGAAGCAATGCTAAATTTTTATCAGAACCATAGAATATGTGGCTGGAGGACCCTTTCTGCTTTTACGAAGGAATATAAGTAATGACGCATGATTTCAAAATGAGAAACGACTTTAACTATACACACTTCCTGTTCTCTCTATGTAACTATATTAATATTCGCCGTGTGTGAAAGATTTCAAGAAACCCGATCTATACCACATGTTTTAGTGTATTTATTTGTTTTTTTTATTGATTATATCGCATTATGTGATAGTTTTATAGGCAAGGGGATACCTACCCTTCCCCAAACCAACACGACTAATGGTAGATTCCTTCACCTTGTTGCATTACTACCACAGTTTAAATTCAGTTGAGATTCATTCATTGCAAGCATCTACCAAGTGTAAAGTGCTGTGTAGGAGGACATTGTGAGCCTGGAAGCCCAGTGAGCACAGGTTTACAGTTCATTGGGCAATATTTGCATGAAAATGACCAAATGGCTATGTCTTGCATACCTGTTGGGTGATAGTTCCCACAGGTTGAGTAAACAGCATGTAAATGAGAACACCTAGTGCGATGTAAAGACTAAAGGAATTCTAATCTAGAGTGCGATAACAGTTGATGGTTTTGTTTATGAGCTGGATACTTCCTCCCCTACCCAATACGGACTTTCAGAGTATAAAGTCTGATGCCCCTAATAAACTTCGGCTTTGACCATCAGTCAGGGTCCACGCGTGTTATTATCGGCTCCGTGCACCAAGTCCGTCGCTGCGGGACAGCGACAAGTGGCGCCTGAACAGGGACTTGAAAGAAGAAGAGAAAGTGCAGCGGAGACCCCCACAGAAAGTGGTGAGTGGGACAATGGGCCAGAAGCAGGGTAGAGCACAGTCATTTATCTCTCTTATGCAGAATTTTTTAGTGAAAAGTGGAGCAAAGGTAACTAGGCAGCAATTGCGTTCTTATTTAGAGCTTATTGGTGAATATAATCGTTGGTCTCCAGATGATTGGACACTAGAAACTGGACTTAAGAATTTTACTCAGAAAAATGGTGAAAAAGCCGGAAGGATAGAAGATAATCAAGTTAGTTTTTGGATTATATCAGCTTTAATTAGAACTGTTATTATAATTTTAGAAGGGGAATGTGCAAGAAACTCCTCTAAGAGGAGACACCCCCAAAATGTAGCCAAAAAAGAAGTGTTTCATAATATGGACAAGGAAGAAAGAGAAAGAGGACTCTTAAGAGGTCCACCTAACAGGAAAGGCTACTGTAATAGTTCTAAAAAAGAAGCGCCTCATAGTACAGATGAGGAGGATGGCAAAGAGCAGCCTGTGAGAGATTTCCCTAACGGGAGACGCCACCGTAACGTGGCTAGGAAAGAAATGGCTTATACTACAGATGAAGAAGATGAAAAAGAATGTGTGAGAGACCCTCCTGTGAGGATATGCCACTGTAATGCAGCTAAAAGAGAAAGGCCTTATGCTGCAGATGTGGAAATTAGGAAAAGAAAACTCAGGAGAGATTCTCCTAATGAAAGATGTTACCATAATGTGACTGAAAATGAAATGAGAACTAAGAAAAAGAAGAAAATTTGTAGTGTTAAACCACAGGATTTCTCTAGTGAGGTAAACAAGGATAGGATAATGGAAGAGTTAAATACCAGCCCATGCCATCTCACTCTTAAATCTGATCAAAGACGTTTCCAAATGTCTGATGTTCCCCGGAGACCTCATGAACTCCGATTGCTTTTTCCAATCATACTTAGTCAAGAAAACCATCAACCTACGTATGAAAGCTTAGATGTTAATGCCATCACAGCTTTTAAAAAGGCTTGCGTGTCCTACGGACCTACTTCTTCGTACGTGTGGGAATATTTAAATGGCTGGAGCCAGGCAGCAAACTGGATTCCTTATGATTTTGAAGTAATAGCAAAAATAGGACTTTCTCCTTCTCAATATTTACAATGGAAAATGTGGAGAAGCGATATGGCTAAGGAAAAATTGCGATCGTTAGGAGCATCAGGTCGCCAACTCCCTGGAGGGAGGCAATTGACTTATGATATGTTAGTCGGAGATGGACAGTGGGTTACTACAGAGCAGCAGATACTGCTACCTCAAGCTGCGTTCATTCATATACGAGACGTAGCATTGTTGGCATGGGAAAAAATTGAAGCTGGGTCTGAATTTGCAGGCAGTTATACAAAAGTCTTTCAAGGAGCCAGAGAATCTTATGCTGATTTTGTAAGGCGTTTGACAGACTCCATAGAAAAACAAGTTAGAGGAGAAGGCACTAGGAAATTGTTATTAAAGCAACTGGCTTTTGAGAATGCAAACGAGGACTGCCAGACTGTTATTCGTCCTATAAAAGAAAAGGAAGATATTTTTGGTTACCTCAAAGCCTGTCGCAACATAGGCACATTTAAACACCGTGCCCGCCTAGCAGCACTTGAAACCTTTGCCATTCAAAAGCAAATGAATGCTAAATGTTTTAACTGTGGCAAGCAAGGACACCTGAGAAAAAATTGCCGGATGCTTCCTACAACTCAAAGATACCATGTTGATACTTTTAACAGTCACTCCCCAGGAATATGTCCTAAGTGTCAAAGAGGCGGCACTGAAAAAGAATGTAAATCTAAGTTTGATCGTGGTGGCAGACGCCTGTGGCCAGAAGACTCCTGGAGAAGCCATTCCCAGGTCCCAAACATTCAGGAGTTTACAAAACAGGAACATCCTATTCAATTTGTGCCTGCAGAGAAGCTTCAAACTTAAAACAGCCAGCAAGTAAATCCTGGAGGCTGAAATTCCAATCAATTGTGGTGAATGCATGTTATTCATATAGCACTTTTTCTACACAGCATTGCTTAATCATGTATGCCAATTTTTAAGTACAAGTTTTTACATTAAGTTATGTTCTCTGTCTCATTAAGTTCTTATTGTTTAAAATTAACAAAGTGATGTTCTTGCTTTAAAGAGTATTTGGGTGACGGCATTATATCGTTATAAGGTGAAAGTTTGCTGTTTTTGTGTTAATGTACCCAGGTTGTAACTGCATGTCTTTTGGAATGTTTTATCCATTGCAACTTTTGGGAACTTGGAATTCAAAGAAAAGACTGGGCTTTTGTAAATCTTGAAGGTTTTTTGGGGAGACATTTTAAAAAAAAAGGAGTGAAATTTTATCGTAATTTTGGTATAGAATTGAACTGTAACACACTGTTAGATTGTTTCAAGCTATAAGTTAAATTAATGTGATATTGTCTACAAAGTGTTTGCATGTATTAATGTAATTCTTGTGCTTTTGGCTAGTAATCAAATCTCTCACTGCCTTTAATGTGTCAAGGTTTTGTATTTGTTTTAAAGATATTTGAGTGATGTTCTCACATCAATAACAAATTGTAATGTATAATGTGTCATGCTAACTTCAACAACAAATCTTTCAGATATTTTCAGCTACCTTTAAAAAAGCATTTAAGTATTCAAAGGTTTCAAATCCTAGGGCTTCCCTTGGTATTCTTACGAGGCCTCAAGAATGCCAACGGATCTATCTCCTGTTTTGTGGAGACAGTTGACCAGACTATTGAATTATATTAAGATTATTGCCAAATGCAAAATGGAGTAAAATTTTATTGTGTCAAAATGGTGTATGCTTCCATGGAATTGTGAAGGTTTAAATTTTAGTTTACATGCTTTTAATGATTTAGCTCTAAAGTTGTATCTGGTTGTTAACTATGTATTCTTAGGATGGCTATATTACTGGGAAGACTGAAATTTGCATTTTTAGATTGATAGAGGGATTTCATAGCGGCGATCAATGTTTTTCACTGAGTTTCTTGGTTCAAGATTATTGATTTAATATCATTTCACTTACAGATTTCTGGTGAACACTGCTACTAAGCTTGGTTGAGAATAATATTTTAAGTCTCCAAAAGTGTGTGTGTCTGTGTGTGTGTGCGCGCATACATGTGTGTCTTAACATTTTGTCTTTTGTAAAAGTTGTTTAAAATTGTTATCATGTGTTGCTGTTTGTTTATCAACAAGAGCAGGTTGCTCAGAGCTTTCTGATAGAATTGTAAAAGTATCTACATGATTTTAAACTGTTACTAAATCTAATTTACTTTGTCCAACAATATATGTTTTAAAATCAGAGGGGGGAATATGCTAC